GTCCACCATCTTCAACTCATGACTTTCCAGGTCACCTTGGGGGTCATCTGTATTCCACCCAGAAAGAAATGGAAAAGACGACGAAAGAGCATATGTTAGAAATGTTTCTTTTTTTGTTGTTGAACTTTTTATTATAAAATAAAACAGATATAGAAACCCACACACAATAAATATATAGTTTATTAAATTATTGTTATGCAAACACTCTTGTAACAACCTCCCAGGTCAAGAAATAGAATTCTGCCAGCCTCCCTAGAAGCTCCTCTGTAGGCCTCCTGCCGCCCTCCAAAATTAACCATTATCTTAACTTTCAGAGGATTCACTTCCTTATGTTTCTTTATGCTTTCATCACCCTAATGTGCATCTTCAGATGATATAGTTTAGTTTTGCCCACAGTTTGGGATATGTCTTTTAGTCTCTTAGTCACCACATCCCCTTCCATCCAATTCTTTGTTTATAATCCATCTGTTGAAGAGCCTGAGCGGTTTGTACTGTAAGTTTTCCACAGTTTGCATTTTGCTGATTAGATGTGTTTGGTGCACTTCCATACATTATTCTGTCCTCTGTATTTTCTACAAATCACCAGGGTGATCCAGAGCCTCTACCAGTATCAGGTTTGATCCCTTTGGCAAGACTATATAGTTGGGATTGTACTGTTTCATCAGAAAGCACACGATGTCTGGTTGTCTCTTTTTTTGTGTGATGTTTTCAACCACTGATGTTCATTGCCTAGAGTTTTTAATTCATTAAAGGTTGCAAAATGGTGATATTCTATCTTTTTTCATTTATTAATTGGAATAAGTTTATAAACAGATACTTTCCTCATTATAAAGAATTCTAGTTCATGTAGGAAAGGCAAGATATATTCTTGATTCTTTCAAGATAAATGAATTGGTTCCTTGTTGTCCCCTAAAGTCACCAATTAATTTTTTCTTTTTCCTTTTTTAATTATTATAAACTCATAAATTTAAACGTATTTGATAAATATCAATCCATTGGAATTTTAATCCTTTGTGCAGTTCAAATTGGCTCATTTTTGGCCAGTGGGAGCCTCCTGAGTTATTTTCACAAGCCTCCTGAGTTATTTTCACAAGTTATTTGATAGCTCTTTTCTATCTAGTGTAACAAGATATTTCAGGCTTATTTGTACATTTCCAGCCTCAAAGTTCCTGGAATCAGCCATTTCTCCAAGGAGCCTTGGTTTGTTTTAGTGGAAAATTATATTTCAAGGCGTTCATTGCTACTGGGCTGGCCATTGTTTTTATGCTTTTTCGGTGGACAGAACCGGAAAATTGTGTGTGTGTGTGTTTGTGTGTGTTTTCAATTTAAAATCTCATGTGTTCATACTGATATTTCTACTTCAGATCTAGGATTACAGAACTTTTCCTTAACCTCTTCTACATTATATCTTCTTTCTTCCACACCAACACTCCTGGCTAGCAAGAACACAGGACATAAGAATAAACTTTCATAACTAATTATTTGCTTTATCTACCTTTGAACACAATAGTGTCCAAATAACAATATTCATACTACCACTATGAATAAAATTACATAAAACTCTTAAAATCTTTTTGTACATTCTATTCACTTTTTCTTCTCATTTTACAATGTTGTACTGTGTCTTCATTGCCAGAGTGTACAACCATTTCATATATACTCTCCCATTTAACCATCATATATTCTTAGTTCTATAAATAAATATATATCTAACGCTCACTGCCAGTTCTTATGTTAATGTTTTCCTAGTTATTTTGGTTGTTAAAGCTCATTCTCTAACAGATTCCCCCAAGAAAGTCTCATGGGAACAATATTTTCTGAGTTCTTGCATGTTGACCAAATTTTGTCTGTGCCTTATATCCTTGAAAGTCAGTTTTTCTCGTTATAAAATTCTTAGCTCACATTTTTTTTTTCCTTGAGTATCTTAAACACAGCATTTCATTTTCTTCTGGCATAAAGCTTTGCAATTGAAAAGTCCAATGATCATCTAATTTTTTTTCTTTTATAAGTCACATGCTCTGTTTACCTAAATGCACAAGGATTTTCCCACCTTTTTTCTTTAGAATCCAGTTATCTTGATTGATAGCATGGGTCAGTCTTCTTGGGTACATGATATGTTCTTTCAGAATGTAGTTTATATATTATATATGTATGTTCAGGAAAGTTTTTTTTTTTTTTTTTTTTGCCAGAAAGATCCTTTTAAACACAAGTCAGATCATGTTGCTTCTCTGCTAGAACACTTAGGTCAATGACTTCCCATTTCATTTATTTATTTATTTATTTTTATAATTTTATTTATTTATTTTTCCCCCAAAGCCCCAGTAGATAGTTGTATGTCATAGCTGCACATCCTTCTAGTTGCTGTATGTGGGATGCGGCCTCAGCATGGCCAGAGAAGCCGTGCGTCAGTGCGCGCCTGGGATGCGAACCAGGGCCGCCAGCAGCGGAGCACGTGCACTTAACCGCTACGCCACCGGGCTGGCCCCAGGAAAGTTTTATGAGTTAACAATTTTTAGTTTTCATTCTGTTTTCTTGCTTTGAGTTTCTTCTTCGGGGATCACTGTTAGCTATATATTAATTTTCCTTGCCTATCTTCAATATTTGTTCACCTTTTTTCAAATCTTCTTTTATCTTTTCTTTAAAATTTTCTTTTCGATTTAAAAAATTTCCTCTTTTTCTCTTTTTGTTTCCCTTAAGACATTTGCTGTTGTGTTTATTCATTCTTATTTAGTCTTCTTTTTCAAATGATTTTTCTTGTATTTATAATTCTTTCTTGAGTTTCATGACCTTATTCTATAATCTTTTCTTTTTATAATTTATATTGTTCTTTCGTATCTTGTATCATTTCCTTAGTGCATTTTAATTTATTTAAAATAGTAGGTTATAGTTTTAATCTGTTGTACAGTCATATCTTTCTGGCATGCTTTCATTATGTATAGGGATAATATTATATTCCTTATTCTTACTTTTCTTATAATAACTTGAGATGAGTTTTGACCTTGATAATTTTAAAGTTGCTCATTGTTATGTGAACTTAATCTTCCTGAAGGTTTAGAAAGAGGCCTGATGCAGATAGCTCTTCTAGCTTCATAGAGCTCTTACTTCTGTTATTTTTGTGTGATGTTTAAAAATATGATGGCCTGATTGGTGAGATAGCCTAGCTCTGCTCATCTCCCCCACTTTATCTGGACCTTTTCTTTCTTTTATCTCTGTTTTCTCTGTCAAGTTCAATTTTGATTATACTCCCGATAGTTTCTCCTTCATGTGGGGCTCTGTCCTGGAAGAGAGCCAGGGCAGATCAGTTTCAAGTGTTCACTGCACTGCCCCCTTTAGACCTTCTTACTGTAGGCTCTGCCACTTGCTACCTTATGATTGCAGGCAAGTTATTTAACTTTTCTAAGTCCCATTTTCTTCATTTAAAAACTGGCAAATGATAGCCCTATCTCATAGTGTTGTTGTGGGGATTAAATGATGTAATATGTAAAGATCTTAGTTAAGTATCTGGCACATTTAATGTGCCTGGAATAGATGAGCTCATTAATAACCAACATTATTCTTGGGCAGTAATTTAACACATGTTGCCAAATGAGCAACTAATTAATGTTAACTTTGCATAGGCTTTATTATATTTTATATGGTGAAATGTCAAACCCAATTCAGAGGTAAATCAAACCAAGTTACACATGCACACATGCGTGCTTTATGGTAATTAGTGTAAAAAGAAACTGAGATTTGTTCAAAGTTTTCTTTCTTCTCACCAATAATAAATGTGTATGTACCACTCTATCAAAAGATTCGCCCAAATACTCCTGAATGGGTATATTCATTTGGAAAACATACACGTTGTTTAGCATCTTATCTTGTGTTGATTTGTGTTGGGGGTGTTTTCTCCTGGTCTACATTCTCATAATCATGAAGAAAGCAGCAGCACTGAAGTGATTGTTCAGGTACAGTTCCATTTCATTTCCGTGCAGCTGCCCTGCTTCCCATTTTAACAATGGGAATGATGTGTAATTATGCAATGTTAGAAATTTGGGTCTGTTTATTCTTACCTTGAAGAATAAATTTAAGTACTTCTTTCTGAAGCACAGCAACTATATCATCATAGCACCTGGGCAGAAACATTTTTGAGATTGTTAGATGTTTCCGGTTTCTACCTCTATCAAATACAAACAATGGATCTAGAAAGGCAGGAGACTGTGAAATGGTAAGGTTTTAGGGTGGCTTAAAGGCCTAATTCTTCATCTGAAGTTCTCCCCACCTCCTGGTTGATGTGTAGATGTCTCCTTTTTCTCAAGAGCCTGAGTCCTTGAACTGTATCATGATTCAAAACCTGAAGGGAAAAATTTAGGTTGATGAAGGATGAGAGCAGAAATTTGATAGGAAGAGGGCCTGTAATGTATTGAGCTACAGGCTGTATATGTAACTTTCTCTTTTTCTTTTTTGTGAGGAAGATCAGCCCTGAGCTAACATCCATGCTAATCCTCTTCTTTTTTGCTGAGGAAGACCGGCTCTGAGCTAACATCTATTGCCAATCCTCCTCCTTTTTTTCCCCCAAAGCCCCAGGAGATTGTTGTATGTCATAGTTGCATATCCTTCTAGTTGCTGTATGTGGGACACGGCCTCAGCATGGCCAGAGAAGTGGTGTGTCAGTGCACGCCCGGGATCCGAACCCGGGCCACCAGTAGCGGAGCACGCACACTTAACCGCTAAACCACGGGGCCGGCCCTGTAACTTTCAAGTTGACGTATAATACAGTTAATTCAGAACCATCCATCAGTTATCTCTCTTTGTTTTCCTTTGATATGATAAGCACTGGAAAATTAAAATGAGGGTTGAAACATTATTTCCATGGCTAATGAGAGCTGGACATAGTTTAGAACAATTCTTTATTCCTGGGCAATAATTTAATCTATATTGCCAAATGAGTAATAGACTCATATATAGAGAACTCTTCTATTCCTTAATTGTGTGTGTTTTTGTTTTTGTTTTTACTGTAGCTTCGGAAAGCAGTGATGGATCACATATCTGATTCTTTCTTGGAAACCAACGTCCCTTTGCTAGTTCTCATTGAGGCTGCAAAGAGTGGGAATGAAAAGGAAGTGAAGGAATATGCCCAGGTTTTCCGTGAACACGCCAACAAGCTGGTGGAGGTAAGTCAGGAGAATCCTGAAGACTAGAATTTGTCAACAGGTTTAATCTCTACATGTGGCTTTTGGAATTTCAATAGACAGCTCTTCTATGGATTTCCTGGAGAAATAAAGTCCTGGGACTTTCCTTCTCTTTACCTTCTGATTACTCCATCCCTTGCAAAGGAAACAGATTATCAATAATCTCTCCTCTCTCTATCCCACAACTCTAAACAAGCTCTGGAACATGCCTGCTAATTTTCCTGAACAGTAAGCAGAGGCTGAAACAGAAGTAAAAGGGATGCTCCAAAGTGCTGAATACCAGCTTTAATTTGAGAGAGTAGAATTAAAAGTGCTAAATGGAGGTTAAACATGGTTCCGTTTTCTCCCTCTTCACCCCCCTCTCCACTCCACCCACCTAAACCTACATTAGCTGGCCACATTATGAACTTGTGAAAAAAACATCCCACTTCCCCCAAAGAGATGTTTGACTCCTGGTGAAGGATCCTAGGGCAGTAGTAGGAGTGTAAGTTCGGGGTCATAAGTATATTCTACATGTTAGAGAAATCTGTGGGAGTTGCTTTGTGAATGCCAAATTGTGCTGTATAATATTGAAAAAAATTCTGTTCAAGAGAAACAAATAAAAGTGAAATGACTTGCCTAAATCTGCCTGCGTAAATCTAGGACTAGAAATCCAACAGCTTGGCCAAGGTTGGATTTAGTGATGTGGGGCTAAATAGAAAATAAAGACATTAAACAGGAAATGGATGTGCTAGAGAAAAAGAGTCCAGGAGGGGTGAGGATCCTGGCAAATTTAGGAAAAGCTTATCAGGGCCAGGTTAAAACTTTTGCAGGTTCTGAGTGCTTAAGATGTTACAACAACAGCGACAACAAAACTCTGGTATATTCCCACTTTAATTCAAAATAAAATAACATTACTCAAAATGACAGAGAACTTAAATGCAAACTCAAAGTAAAATATTATTTTCTGTTTTTTTTCGAATGGCAAAATTAAAATCTGAATAAGTTCATCAAATGTGAAATCCTCTCCATTTTTCTTGGGGTGAGTGATAGGGTGGGTGCTCTGATTTAAGTGTGCCCTAAGCACTTGCTTAGCTTGCTCCTTAGGTTACTCCAGCACTGCTGTTGCCTCTGGGGCTGAAGACACTCAGCCCGCAGGAAGTCCTGCATGAAGCCCATAGGGAGCCCCAGGTTCTCTAGGACACAGGCTGAGCCATCACCCACAGCAGCAGTCAGCAAATTGAGTGTGCTAAACTCATAATAGTGCCATAATAATGTAACCCCTGAACTTCCTACCATAACGCCCGTGTCTTGAGGTGACGCCAGCCTAGAGCTAAAACAGGGTCATATTCATCAAGGCAGTCTTTCTGGCTCTGTCCCTACCTATGGGCAAGCACTCCATCACCCCTCACATTCCACCCCCATGTTCCAAGAGTTCACTTGGTTATTGAGGAATCCAGAGCCTTTCCAAAGTTGTTCTTGGAAGCCCTGGCCGCTCCTATGTCTTGAGAAAGAGAAGGTGAAGAAGGAGCAGGGGTGGAGGCGGAAGGAAAGGAGGAAAAGGAAGAAAAGAAATAGCGCTGAATGAATGCTAAATATTCAGCATCTTAAAGTTTTAAACATTCATATGTAATAAAATAATACTAACATGCAAATATACCATCCCATTTGTATAACAATGGCATTTACAAGATACTTGCAGAATATATAGAAAGTGTTAATTGATGGTGTGTTGTAGGCATTGTAGACAAAGAAAGGGACATGAGTTTAAGGTTGTGTGATGAACATCTACTTTCAATCCTGTCAGTGTCTTTCTGAAATTCTGTGTGTAGCTTCATTTGTAGATAATATTTGAAGTTCAACCTGATGCCCTGTATAAATGTGAGGCCAGGGCCAAGTAGCCCTCTTGTCTACTCATTTCCCCCTCTCCTGTGATAGACCCTGGAGATGTCCACAGTTTCCCCTCATCCCATCTGTAGGTTTCACTGTAGGGGCATCCAACCACTGCTGGTGATCCTTGATCCTCAGCTTGTGGCAGAAACAGAAGGCTCGGGTCCGTCAGAGCCCCACATTTCAGAAAATTGCTGCTTTGCCTCCTTCAGTTATTTCCTTCATTACCCCTGGGTGGTCACTGCAGCCAGCAGCATTTTAGAATGTCTTGATGTCCAGGAGATGTGGGTGCTAGGGCGTGGACTGGCCTCTGATCGGAGAGGAACTGGAATTGAAAGAATTTCTGCAGCTTGTGTCCTTCAAACAAGTGCTTCAGTGCTGATGCGTATGTGTAAAGAAACGTGGAGCACTGGGCTGAGAGTCGCCATTTTTCTAACTTTAAAGTGTCTATGTGGACTTGGGCACTTTTCTGGGGCTTCGTTTCTGTGTCTGTAGTATGAAAAATTTGGTTGACATATGGATGTTATATCCATTGACGCTGATGAATTCACTTACTAATTCCAAAAGTTTGACTGGTGTTTTTTTTGAATTTTCTGTGTACACAATCATGTTGTCTGCAAATTAGGACAGTGGTATTTCCTCTTTTCCAATCCCTATATTTTGTTTTTTCCTTGCATTATGGCGCTGTGCAGACTTTCAGTACAATATTGTGGTAATAGATATTTTTGTTACTTCTAGATCTCAGTGAGAAAATTTAAATATTTTACCATTAAATATGTTGTTTGTTCTAGATTTCTTGCAGATACTTCTATTAGATTTAGTTTTCTTCTATTACTCCTTTGCTAACAGTTTTTAAAAATCAGGAATAAGTATAGAATTGTATCAAACCAGTTTTCTGCACATTTTGTGACAATTATATGATTTTTATTTCCTTATTTTTTATTTTTGTCTCCTTCAGAAGTATTGTTATCAAAATTATGCTTTCCCTCAAAAAATGAACAGGAAATTATTCCTTCTTTCTATTTTTTGGAAGTGAATGAATGTGTAAGACTAGCATTTATTTTTTTTTTAAATATTTGGAGGAATTCACTGATAGCAATCTGAGCCTACATATTTATTTGAGGAAAGCTTTAAAATTACAGATTAAATTTTTTTTATTAAACTTATGTTGTACTTTGTGTAAACTATGTTTTTACTTTATGTTTTACTAAACAAAAGACTATTCAAATTTTCTATTTCTTTTTGGGTCAGCTTTGGAAAGTTGTATTCTAGGAATTTGTTATTTTCATTTAATTTTGTAATTTTTTGTCATAAAATTGTCCATATCCTCTTATTGTTGTTGTTTGGTGAGGATTTGCATTACATTTCTTTTTTTTTCATTCCTCGTATTGCTAATTGGTGTCTTCTCTCTTTTTTCTTGGTTAGTTTTATAAGAGGTTTATAAATTTAATAATCTTTTCTAAAACAGCTTTCAGCTTTGTAGATTTTGTTTTCTATTTTATTTATGCTCTTATCTTTATATTTCTTTTTTCTGCTTTCTTCTGGTATAACTTACTGGTCTTAGTCTAACTTTTTGAAATGAATAATCACATCATTGATTTTTAGCCTTTCATATTTTGTTAATATATGCATTTAAGGCTGTAAATTTCTCCTTAAGCTATGCTTATGTCTGGTTATTTTCCACTGACCTAATTCTTAGCTCACTCAACCTGTCTCCATCTGTGTCCAATATGCTTAAAACTGATCTATTGAGTTCAGTTATTTTTTTTAAGAATTTCTAGTTGATTTTTTTAAAACTGATTCCGGTTCTCTAGTAAAATTAATTATCAGATTATCTCATTTTTAAAAATATATTAATCATAGTTATTTTTAAAATCCAAGTCAAAGAACTCAATATTTGGGTCAATTTTGTTTCTGTTTTGTGGTGGTCCCACAGAAGGCGACCCCTTCTCTCCCAAACTTGGCTTGGATTTTGAGACTGATGATGCAACAGCAGCTGCCAAGAGTGTTTGAACAGGTTTATTGCTCACATAATGGGACTTTCTTGGCAGAGTAGAGCAGGTACAGAAGCCAGTCCACAGTGGCTTCAGCAAAGAGAACAAGTGGTTTTGGTTTTTATCATATTAGGGACTGGGGCTGGGATCAAGATTTCCATGTGGAGGCTGGGATTTAAATAATTTGAACTTCCCTACTAGCACCAAAAAAATGGGCTTTGTTATCAGCTTGCTCAGTTGTGGAGCAAGATGAAAAGAGGAAAGAGTAGGCTTAAAAGCTGTCAGTAAACATTCAAAAGAGAGTAAGGCTCTTAATTACAATTCACCCCTGATGTTTGACTGGTGACTGGAATGTGCCATGTTTCCTTTAATTGAACTTGAACTTATTTAAGTAAGCTATTATGGAACCCTGTGAGGCTTTCAAAATGGAGACAGACTTTATTATGGTATGTATTTATATCTTGATTATTTATTTATGTTTTTTTGATATGCCAGGTAATTTTTTATCGAATGGCAAACATTTGTATGGAAAAATATAGAGGGTCTATGTCATAGTCTGTTTGGGCTGCTATAACAAAATACCATAGATTGGGTGGCTTATAAACAACAGAAATTTATTTCTCACAATTCTGGAGGCTGGGAAGTCCAAGACCAGGGCTCTAGAATGGGAGTATTCTGGTGAAGGCCATTTTCGTGGTTCGTAGCCGGTGCTTTCTTGCTGTGTCCTCACATAGTGAAAGGGGAGATGGAGCTCTGTGGAGTCCCTTTTATAAGAACATTGATCCCATTCATATGGGCTCCACTTTCATGACCTAAGAATCTCCCAAGGCCTCACCTCCTAGTACCATCACATTGGGCATTAGGATTTCAATATATGAATTTGAGGGGACACAAACCTTCAGGCCATAGCAGTTTGGGTAATGTTTTCTCCCTCCGGAGAGAATTCACCTTGTGCTCTGTAGGGCAGCAGAGAGGCAGACCGTCTCAATCCAATTAAAGATTGCAGTGACTTGAGGCTAATTTGTGGTCTTTGTAAAATATAGTCTACCTTTCTTTTCCCTAGTCCTATGGAATAATCTTCCAAGGGTGTCAACAGAAGATCAGATGTGTTATTTAGTA